GTTAGTATGCGTGGAGGATAGCTAACATTTACAACTACCGCCATTCAATCCATCCGAGCCTTACTGTTTTTTTTCGGGCGTATATGTATTCGAGTTTTCTCTATTTTATATAGTATGAATACAGCCAAAAAGAAAAAAGAAGGTCTAAAATGTTCTTTTCAAGATAATCGTTGAAGGTAAATGGCCCAGATCGGTCCTATTTTCAATTTAAATATGAGAAGTCTAAATCAAAATAATTTGATATCTTTTTTCTTGTAACACCAAACAAAAAACAAAAACAAGAAAATCATATAGGTTAAATTCTGGGTTACCCAAGCAGGAAATACACTTTATTGACCTTATCAAAGTTTAAACTGACACATAGGCAAATAATCGTGAAACGAATATGGTAATCGGATTATAATCCTCCAATGACCAGTAGCACAACACAAATCATTATAAAAGAATCCAGCGAATAAATCATATTAACTTAAATAAACTTACAGCTAAAGAAAGCTAACGAATCCCACATGTGAAGTTTAAATCGGCTTATGGTCGACCCAAACTTAATTTAGCAGGCTATGAAATACCATTTAACAGAAGCAAGACCTTTTTCAGATAGACGTTTTAGTACAATAGGTCCAAAATTATGGAATAAACTTCACAGAGACCTTAGAAATCTGTAGAAATTTTCAAGAGACAATTGAAAACTTATTTCTTTAAGGACTTCTCCTCCCTATTCTATGTAATTAATGATTATTTATCAACTGTGATGTCCAAAAACTGTAGAATATTGAAATGTGATTAGAAAATTACTGCACTGTAAATATTTGTCTTGGAGACCGAAAGATAGAGGGAGATATTTGTGTGTATGTATATGTATGTTGTTCCACGAAATCGTTCTTATTCTTTTTATCAATTATGTCAATATATAATGATGTGTATTTTAATTTACTATTGTTAATGTCTTTTAGATATTGTACAACACCATTGAATATGTTTATACGTATGAATAGGCGTTTAATCAAATGATCAATTTTCAAGTTTAATTCATACAATTTTCCTCTCGATATGAACCTCCTAAGCATATCATGATTATAAAAAGGACAAAATAAAACTAACATTATTATGAAATTACAAAATGATAATAATATCACTATATTACCGAAAAAAGAATAACAAAAATAACTACAGCAAACTTCCAAGTGTTCCAGAGAGTTCCAAAGATAAATGTTTGACTTCTTAAAACGGACGGCTACATGAATTACGAGTTTGTACAGGGTGTCCCGTAATATATGTTACTATTTTAAATATACAATTTGCTGGTCAATATTGCTTGTTTTATATCAAATTATTATACATAGAATCAAGATATTAAACCAAAATGAACGGGCATGTTCATGAAGTCATTTAACAGGAAATGAAGTCATTTGATGTTACTCGTTATTCAAGATGGCGTCATCATATATTTTTGAAGCCGAAATTGTTTAAAGATCCTGTAACACATATTTTGTTTTGTTTCATATTATAAACATGATACTCAAATTAAGATTTATCAATAAAGCATTTTTATAAAGATATTTCCGAATTTAACATTTAATGTAAAAAAGAGAGGTTATTAGACATTTATTTCCTATAAAGTATAAGTCAAATTTTTCAATAAGAAAAGAATCCATATGTTTTATTGATTACATACAATGTGCACAAATTTTGCAGTACATATTGTTTTATAAGCATATATAAAATTTCACTACAGTGTGGTAACAACCTTAATTACAACATACAGGATTTAATTGTATTATTTAAGCTTTCACCTACAGCGATTATCCCAGATATGACAGAACGGCATCCGGAGATAAAGGGTTTAAAAAAAGAATAGTTGATAGATTTGAAAGAACAGGATCTGTAATAGATGGACGACATTCCAATCATGGCAGACGCAAATCGGTAAGAATCGAAGGAAAAACAAAAGCATTCAATGAGCTATTTCAGAATCGCCACAAAGATCAGGTATAAAGATTTTAGGTGATGTAACGAATACAGTTAGTCGTCCAAGTGCTCTCAGAATACTACTATATCATCTAAAATTGACACCATATACGCTTTCAGTTATGCAACACCTAAATGATACTGACATTCAAAGTCGACTTCAATTTGCACACTGCGTAGGGGACAATTCAGAATTCTCTTCAAAGTAACATATTTGTTTCTTCGTCCTTTCAGATAAATTATTCTTATTCCTTGGCACTTTCGGAAATGCGATAGTTGCCGACTAAATGATCAGCATTAGCATTGCATAAAAATATCGTACAAAATAAAATGAAAAGATAAACTATAAAAAAGAAAGAAAAGAAAAATAGCATACTGTACTAAATCTTAACAAGACAAAGCTCAGAGGGATCACTATTTTTCAGATATTTATTACAAATATAAATTCCAAAGAAACATATTGTATTGCATACATGATTTTAGTGAAATTTTGTTTTCACGATAGTAAACTGTAATTCGTTTTGATTGAACAATAAATAAATAAAAAAGAAATAACTGGCATAGTGGTAGGAGTTAGGAGGTACATGGTATACAAGCAAAAGGTGTCTCATAAGTCATAAATGGCTGGCCCTTTCAGTAGGGGTGACACTGTAATAAACAAGACCTTTACCGTTTTTATATCCACGGAAAAACTGATATTTTTTGTAAAGAAATAAAGAATAACTTTCAGATTTTAAGTTCATTACAGAATAATATTCTGTTTTACTTTCATACAGACAATTATTAGTAACTTCCAAGTCAATAATTATCAGGCATCACACGATAGGAGACAATAATAGAAACATATATGTTTATGCAGTTTAGTGTTCTAAACACTAATTCCAAAAGTTTGTCCACCTGTCTGTAAGGTCTTCCCAATGTTCTTGCATTGTTCCGATCATATCGTTGACAACACCAGTGACGGAAAGAAATCTGTCTCGTAAAGAATAGGCACCACAATTTGCGCCATCAACGAGCATCCTACCTAATAGTCTAAAAAGAATAATGTTAAATATTAACATACTGCAATATGAAGCTATTCAGTATATATTAAGAGGAATTGTTGTAGGCGTGATTACCTGTTTCTGTTCGCTAATTTTACCATTAACGTAGTCGGTTTTCAGCATTCGGCGATTGCTTTTTTCCTTTGTTGCTTACATTATCATTGATATAGTCGGTATAAAATCGTAATCACCTGTTCGTATTTACTAACAATATCACACTATAGTTTAAATATCTTTGTCTAGATAAGTATAGAAAAACCCTACAAACCCTGGTTTCCTTAGGCGCAACATTCTACGTATTTCCTCCATTCCAAAAATATCCAAATACTCTTCAGAATTATCGTGGACGAAAGAACAAAAGTCCTGTCCGTCTTGATCAGTTCTCGAATTGCATGCTATAATACCATCAGCACCTACGTCATTTATGTCGTCACACCGTGATACGTAACTCTGATAAACTGGCAACAGAGAGTTTGTCAGGCAAATACTTGTTCTATTCATCCATCTCTGGCCCTGAAATAGATTTCTTAAACTGTATGAATAAGCATAAAATTCCAAAAGTGAAGTCTACATTTATTTGACGAATGATATACCGGTATATAGGAATAAAACAAACATGAAATTTAAAACAAAATACTACATTATTTCAGAAACGGTCACTTAATTATAGTGTAATGTTTGGCTCCGACAGACAAGACAATATGGTTAAGTTAATTATAAAAGATATATACAGTATGATACAGATAGATAACATAAATAACGATTATTTGCTTGAGCATAACAAGAACATTGCAGAGTTACAGATTTTAATTATTCACTGAGTTATTAATATTTTGTTTACATTTTTACCCTTCATTTATCAGTATAGAGGAGGTGCCAGATGAATGAGTTTGCTTGTGCAAAGCCAAGTATTTGACATTGTAGTTAATTTTATGTAATGGATGATATGGTACTAAAATCAACAAACATCAGGTGTAAAATCGTCCATCATGTTGATAATTTTTCTGCAGAAATGTAATCCAACATGTATTGCAAAACCACGGTGACCACACGGGAATCGTCTCTCTAAACATTCATAAAACTCACACCGACCCCAAGCGGCAAGTCGCAAACATTCATCACTTACATCTGAAAAATCACTTACAATGATGAGTAGAATATACTCAAACTGTAAAGCAGGAACAAGTCACCAGAGTGACTTACTTTTACTTGTTTTCGTTTGTGTATGTTAAAAATAGACATCGAAGCACGACAACCTTGTATGTATCAGTTACAATTTCTAAGTTAAATAAATAAACATTTAAAGACGAACAACAACAACAACCCCCAAAACAACAACAACACAAACAAACAATTTAACAATTTTTGGTTAGTCTCGAACTAAATGTTTTAGACCAAAATTTCTGATATCTTTGTAAAATTTGTATTTCAATTAGAATTAATGCTAGTTGAAGTAACCTTTAGTTTACCTTATTGTTTCCATAAATTCATATTAAATGTAAACTGAAACATTAATGTTTCACATACCTTCATGTGGCTCCACTCTCGGATCGTTGCCGAACCACCATGCGCTGCATGGCAAAGCAACAACAGCTAATAGAAATAATATTGCAAACACTTTCATTGTGAAACTTTTCATTTATGAAAAAAAAAAGAAAACGTAATTTGGACCCTACTTAAGAGTTTCAAACAACTGAGCCTGAGTTATCATGTTTATATTATAAACTTGATCGGGTAATCTGGTTTGATAAAGACAGTGGTGATTAGATCGCCCTAATTGTAAACGTCAATGCTCAAAAGTTAGATGACCTACTACATGTTTTTGGGTTTTATTCTTTATCAGTTTTGCTGAATTAACAGAGAGATACGATATCAAAGTAAGCTGATTATCCCTTTTCGGAATGCTAATTATCTTAAAGATAAAAGAAGGGAGACCGTTACTCACTGCAAAAATACATGTAAATTATTGGTACAAGAGAGTCATACTCTAAACACATACGTCCATGAATTTAATTAATTGATTAGCTAGTTATTGGTGTCCAAATCGGAGGCAACATGGAAAAAATAAAAAACAACTATTTGAAACAAATATTTATAGATAACGTTTTAACAAGTGCCAAAGTATCTAAGCAAAAAAAATTTAAATAGTTTAAATTTGACAGTTGCATAAAATGTTGCGCTAAACATATGGAATAAAGTATTTTGACACATTCAACCTATGTATCTATTGGTCGAAAATAATGTTTACTAGCTAATCGATGTGTTTATCTACTATGTGTTATATTCTGACAATAATTAAATATTGAGTTGACTGTAACATGACGCTATCATCCCAATGTTAGATAAATCATTTAAAATTTAACATCCCATAACTCATCGCACCATTATCTTATAACCTTTTATCAGCTCAATCAGTTTAATGACATCTAGTTATAATCTGTAATACAGGATGTCATAAATAGTGTTATATCAGTCAGGCGAGTATTTTTTTAATTGTTAAATCATGAATATTTAAGGCATATCTGAGTCTCATATAAACATTTTTCCAAGTGTAACAGATATAACCAATAAGTCAAATAAAAAAAATAAACCAAAAAATGTTTGAGATTTTACTAACGAATGCATTACTTTAATGCATTTAGTTTATATTTTCATAAGTGTCGTATATTTCTCTCAGCATAAATAACTTGACGTATAGATGTATAATGTCAACAACATCTTTGACTAACGTTATTTTGCCTCCTGACTTGAACAAATTCCTGAAATAGACACAATAACATATGAAAGTTAAGTGTGTTTTTATGACATCTCTGGAAACAGAAAGCATGTTAAAAGTCTTAAATTCCAAGGACACATAGATTTCTCCGCAGTTATCATTCCATTATCATTTTGTCATAAAGTTTTCACAACTCCTAAAAGGTTTTGAAATATAAATGATGTCTATTTCATTCATGGTGTGTATGATCTGATATGAAACTAATTAAAACGTGTTACCTAAATTTCCATACAGTAAAATACAGTCCAAATTAAAATGGTTAACATAGATAAATCCCGGGCATGGTATAATAAAATCACTCACTAGTAATGAATTGATTATTTATCAATTTTACGAGATATTAACACCTATTGGTTATTGATAAACAAGTATAATACAAGTACAAATGTTGCTGCAATGCAGCAATTGAGAAGCTCCGCGCAAAAAAATGCGCAAATTACAGATACCTTACCAAATTATTCCTACGCACAGGTCATGTTATATTCAGATTAAGTACTATTGTAGATTTTTTCCGAATGTTTTGTAAACAATTTTTTGCATAATTATACTTATCTTATGCACTGTCCATAATTAAAAAGAGGGGAAAGATATCTAATATAAAAAAATGCTTTCACTGATGCCTACCTGGTAAGGAAAGTAATTCCATTGAATACAAACAAGACTTACAAGACTTTAGGGCAAAAGCATTCTTTTACTTGGGGACCATACGCCGCTTTTCATGGAATGGCACTACTTTGCCACATTGAAGGTTCCATGATAACCGCCGTATGAACACATCTGCAGATGTTTCTAAATTCAAAATTTCACCTTTTTCGTGTTAAATGTTGAATTCTGGTTAAGCCGGTGCTAATGGGGCGTGGACGGTAATTGCACTTTCCAGTACCGTCCATGAACAGGCTCAATCAAACCGAGCCTGCAACATTTTCAATTTTGTCGTGTTGGGCTATCTTTAGGGATTCTGTATTTCTCTATTATTTTTGTTTGTAAACGTTATGTGACATGACTGTTCTATGTTCTGTTTGTGTCACTACTATAGTCAGTAACATAAGATGATAAAAATATCAAAGTCTGTTTTTTTATTATTATAATTGTAACAAATAAACAAATAGTAATAAAAGGGACTAATATTATAATATAGTAATATTACATGCATTTATTTTCATGTCAAATTAAGAAAAAAAATGGTTTCTTTCAATACTGAAAGTAGAACACACTCTTGAATGAAGAAAATGGGATGAATTTCAAAAAGACCAAATTCGGGAATTTTTTGTTTGTTATACACGCGTTACATGGTGATACAGTATTTATTAATACAATAGAAGACTGTTACCTGAATTCTAGGCAGGTATGAGGTAAATTCACTAACATCATGTTCGTGCAAGTCAAAGATATAAAAGCTATTTGACATTGGTGATATATATTAAACATCTTTTGTTAATTGATTTATTGGGAGATCAATATACTTTATTGTTGAATTGCTTTCAAACTTTCATAAAAAAAACATTAAACTTCATGTTCAAAATGCAGATCAAAGTTTCTGTTGTTATCAATGATGCTATCTATCTATAGCCTATACTTAACGAGGGTCCATCCGCTCGTAAGGCCACAAAATGCAGGTTTCGCTGTCGAGTACGACCCGGATTATGTCACCAGAAAAGCTGCATCAGTACTAAGGGTGTAGTACTTAAGTACCAGTACCAGTAACTTGGCAAATTATGCAATACCATTACCAGTACCAGTACTAGATTTTTAGCTCAGTACTGCTGTTACCAGTACATTTTTTGGTCAAGTAATAAAGTATCAGTACCATTACTTTTATTATATTCATCAAAAGTTTGAATAAATACAGTGTCAAACAAATAATTGCAAATATTATTCAGCAAAGAAATAAAGTCATAATTTACTATAACATTTTTAGTTTATTTATTTATATAAACTTTATAGTTTTAACATACTTTTTACAAACAATATTTACAACATATATTCATGTCAATATACTATTGTTGAGTAACCCAGTCAACTGTAATACAATGCAATTATCTTTCATTTAAAACACAACAGTCTTTTGTTGCCTTTCACACCTTCACAAGGATATTTTAGGGTAAAGAGTTACTGAGTCTGTTTATCTAAATTTAATTTCACTTAAAGTCGTTGGTGCTTTTTTATTGATGAGTACTATGTTAACATTGGAAGGAGTATGGCAGCAAATTTATTTATAGATTTGATAACTTACTTTTTCACAAAAACAAAATAATGTAATTTACAGCTTTATTTATGAAAAAGAATTAATGCTATTTTTATCAAAACCAAAGTACTGCCTAGTAATGCAGTAGCAGTACCACGTTTTTAAATAGTAATGCAGTAGCCAGTATAAGCAAAATTTTTGCAAGTGTAATTCCAATATCAGTACCAGTATTTGCAAAATCGCTGCAGTACGTACTGCAGTACCCTGTACCAGTAATGCAGCTCTGGTCACCAGTCATTCCCTTCTTGAGTTAATTTTGAAGCTGTATCAATTCACGCCAATGAAATGTAACATTATATAACTAAAGTTTTAATTATTTCAAAAACAACTAATATATCAACATGTTATTATTTAACATTTAATTTCAATAAATAAAAAAATTAAGAATAATTATCAAAAGTAAAATTATTAAAGTTTTATGCCTGAAATCTTCATTATATCACTAATAGTATTTACTTGATATGCTGTGTGTAAATGTAATTCAAAATGTAACAAATTATAATTTCATGTGTTACTATAGGAGGGAAATAACAAATGTATATCCTAAGTGTCAAAAACCAGAACATTTTTATAGCTATTTATAGCTTTCGAATTCATGTACAGCAGAACTGCTTTCCGGTTCTCATTCATTAAATATGACATGTTGCGAATCACCGAAGGGGAAACCAATATAGATATCGAAAGGATTTCTTAAATGCGCGATTTTTTTTAGCTGTAAATCGAAAGGATTAAATGATCAAATTCCGGGCCCATGGACAAAAAAAAAAGTAAACACAAATAGCTTCGCGCCTGTGGGCGCGGTAGCAATGAAAAGCCGTTAATTTGTGAAGTTTGAATGATGTTTGTAAAATAGTGAAAAATCACTTTAAGAACACCAAAGAACGCATAATTGAAAATGTTGTAGTCTCTGTTTTATTCAGACTGTTCATGGGTGTATTGGCAAGTGCTAGTAACTATTCACGCCCCAGCACCGGCTTCAGTATTATACAACATTTATACATGAAATGGGTAAAAATGTTGAATTAAGAACACTTGTAGATCCGTCGATACAGCGGGGATAATGAAACCTTCAATCAATGTGACATGTTAATGCCATTCCATTAGTTTAAACATATTTTATATTCTCACAATATATAAACATGTTTAATTCTAAATCATACGCCCAAAGCATTTCAATAGGATTAGTATGAAAGACAAAGTGTCTTATTGAAAATTCTTCTCTCTTTGTAAATTTAAATTTACCCTACAAAAAGGCCCCTTAAAAAGATGGGGAATTTTTAATAATTTTGAGACGAATAAAAAGACAAAACCCAAAAAACCCTTTCCATTTCCCTAAAAAAGGTTTTATTTATTTTTAAGCTTTAACATGCTCGCTGTTTTTGATCAAAAGAAAAAAACAAAAAATGTAAAAAATTTAGTTACTAATTAAACCATAAAATTTCTTAAAATTTATGAAAAAAAATTTCCCAAAGCAGATTTAAAGGGATCGCCTTCTTGTTCCCTTTTTCAAGTCAAAAAAGATAATCAGAAAAAAATTTAAAATTTAAATACATTTTCTAAAATAAAATTTATTCAAATAATTTTATGTTATATAAACGTCATCTGGTTTGACAAAAAAATTTATAAATTTTTCAGACGAAAAAATTTTTAAAAAAACATGTCGCAGCCCTTGGG